TAATTGATACAACAATATGGTAAGTAACTTAATTAAACTTCCATAATAAGATTATGTACCAAATATACTATTTACCCTTCCACAGCCACACACAAACTCCTCCTCGAAAGCATCAAAGCACACAAAACTCTAGTCAAACTCAAACTTTAGATTTACAGAGCCTACCAAATTACACTTCCTAGATTTTATATTTACAGAGAGAGAAAAAGGAGAGGATAAGAAAGAAAGTGGAGAAACAAAACCAAACCCAGAAACAGAACATAAGACTCTTTATCTCTATGTACCTTAGTGGAGGCAGAGGCATGGGGGGAGGAGCAGGTGGTGGAGGCATGTTCAGGACTGTTGGGAGGATGGCCGCAAGGGCCAGAGTTGCCACTGGAACAACCACCAACACCACCACCCCAGAATCCCTTTCTTCTTCATCTTGTGTTTCTCCAACTGCTGCTTCTGGGGAGAAGCAAAGTAATCAACTTTTGATATCTGCTTCGAGTCATAGCCTTGGTGGGAGTGTACCCGTAAGTGCCAATTCTGGGTTGCCCCCTAATTGGCCTGGTTTTGCTGCCTCTTCTTGCTGTGATGAGTCTGATTGGGTTTCTGTTGATGGGGTTGAAGATGAGAAGCCACTTGTGTTTCTTGATGATTTTGTTGTGGGTCCTGTTCCTTCCATTGATGAAGTTCAAAACGCCGTCTCTGCTCTCCAGCAGTAAGATTTTACTTAATTTCTTCCTTGAAAGCTGTCTTTGTATTCTCTGGTTTTGCTTTCTCTGTTTATGTTCAAATTTACTTTAAAAGAATTTTTTTGCCTTAGGGAAGATGAAGGATTACGTGGTATTTTTGGTTCCATTATTATTTCAAATTCAAAATCCATTCTGGTTAATTTGAGCAAGAAACTATTCGTTTTCATGTATTGGTGCTTTTGCATCTGATATTGCTAAATTTGAGCAAATTATTTGGTGATGGAGGTTGTGGCCTGCAGAGGTGATAGTGATATGATTTGATTTATATTTTAACTTACCCCACAAGTAATTTTGTTTTTTTTTTGCTTGTGTTATTCATGAGCCATAATTGTATAAAATTTAATCTCACAAGTCACAATCAATATTTTTATAATCAGCATGATTGATAATGAAGGGAAATGTGTCCATTTTTGTTGAAAATTTTGCTGTTGGTATATCTAATGTGGATCATACAACAGGTAATAGCCCTTCATTTCCCAAATCCCTCCCTCAACCCTTGAGGGCAGTTTCCTAACCTGTTAAAATAAATTCATGCAATATTTAGAACACATGAATGATTGAAAAACAAGATGGTTTTTTTCTGTCTACTAATTGCTGCTATTTGAGCATTGTAGAAGCAACTAATATCTTGGTCATTATTTATATTTAAATGTTTGGTTAGATAAGTGTGCAAGACTTGAAGGCTCAAAATATGGGAAACTTAATTTTGATGTTAAGAAGCCAAAGCTATGTTGATGATCATAATGATGGGAATTGCTTCATCATCGATGAACTAATGATGAGTATTGCTTCATCTAAGATGAACTGATGATTTGTCAAGTCAAACAGCTAACTTACTAATGATTTTTTACTTGGTCACTCAGGAAGAGAAAAATAAGTTTGTTCATTCTGCTACTTTTCTACAAATATAGACTAGGACTGAGGAAATATGAACGGGAAAATGCTGAAAGTTTTTCAAAACAGGATTGTTTTGACATCAAAAGTAATAGGCAGTCAGGGTAGGGGTCTTAGACATATATTTGGAGAGTTTTCTTCAATTCAGGGTGAGAACTGAGATGTGAAATATATCCATTATCAATACTAGAGCTAATTAAAATTGCAGCCTAAATGGATGCTTTATTTATTTATTTGGAAGTTGCAGTTTGGTTGATGAAAAATGTCTGCTGTTGTTAAAATGATTTTGTCATTGCAGGGTTGTTGATTACCCCAAGCTTGTTAAGGATAAATATTCCTGTAATGAGGAGAAGGATATAGCAGATCCAATTCCAAGTCCAACTGATTTGATGTGCCAAGTTCCTTCACTTGGATCTGGATCTGAGTCAGACTGGATGGAGCCTTCCATGCATCTCTATGGACCAAACAGAGTTTATGATGCTTTCCATTTACTGCAAACTGATCCATGCATTAAGGTGCATTCTATTATTAACCATTATAAAATAGCAATGATGACTAGCAATGTTTTTATTTATTGAATTGCAGCGTCATATCTTTTTTTAAAGATAATAAGCAAACACCTGCTGATGATAAGATCGATTTGGGTATATGAATATAACCATGAAAAAGAAGGTGAAATAGGCCTTCCTCCTAAAAGGTTATACCTTTATGTTTAAAGGGAACTGTAACACCAAATTTTATGTTTTTGTTTTCTCAATGGGAATAGGACAAAGCTTCAATTATCATCTTGATGCTTGAGCTTTCAAGGGATTCTTTTTCTAGTATTATTAAATTAATCTGGGAATCTTTAACTTCTTGGCAGAAAATGGTGATTTCATTGTCTTCCGACAAAGCTGTTTGGGATGCTGTTTTGAACAATGAGGTGGTGCAGGAGCTGAGGGAGTCATATTTTACAGGTTCGTTTTTGAGTTCTTAGAATGCATATCAAATTTATGTTAGTATTATATAATAATATCTATCATGAGTAATACTAAAAAATGTTTGTTCATGTTTTATGGGCAATTCACTATAGAGTTGGTGTTGTGACTTATGACTTGGTAGCCACATGTAGTCCTCTTTCCTTCCAACTCAAACCTTTAGACTGTACCTAATCACTTCACATTTGCTTGAAGTAAAATTTCAAGTTATCATTTTTTGTCAAAGAAAATCATCTCCCCTTCTGGGAGACTAAGATTCTGGACCATCCTAATGTGGAATTGGTAAGCTGGTCTAACAAGTATTAGCTTTTAGCTAGGAGTTTCCAAGACTGAGTTCATAGCCATCTTTTTGCAGAACTTGAAATAATTGATGATCTTTCCTTGCTGAAGTGAGGCACTTCTGAGACTCACTGCAGTGTTTAACAAAGTTCCATTTTCTTCTTAAAAAGTGTGTCTGTGTGAGAAAGAGGGGGGTGGGGGTAGATAACTGTTCTTAAGAAGTGTAAATCTAGATCCACTATAGGGCAAAGAAAGATAATTCTATCTTGCCATGCCATGGGGTCAAAGTGGCCTGCATGTAGCATTTTAACATCGTCATTTCTATTGTTCCTTCTCTTCATGGAAAAGAAGGGTTGTTGCATGTTCTAGGCAATGAGCCATTACCTAGATGCTGATTATTAGCTGTTGATCTTGCTTTCATAATCTTTGAAAATGATATGATCATTAGTGTTAATAAAGCCATTTCAGGATTGAGCTGAGGCCATGCAAAATTATAGCTTTAGAACTTTGATTAGTACAGACCATTGATATGTAATTTCAATGACATGCAGCTGAAGACAAAAGCCTGGAGATTTTAGATGAGAATTCTGATGACTCAAAAAAAGAAGTAAATTTTGTGCAGTGGATTTTTGACAGTACCAAAGAAAAAGTCCTGGAATTAATGGGGAAAATAACAAATATTGTAAATGAGTTATTCAGGCCACCTCCTCCTGAAGCTGAGACAACCACAGGGTCAATAGCCGTAGCAGAAGATCCATTCCAGGAAAAGTTGAGAGCTTCATTCTTACTGTCAGTCGTGGTACTGTTGATTGTGGTTGTGTCTCGAGCCTCCTAGGCTTGACTATAATTTGACGACATAACATGTTTGTGCTATCTCATTTGCCGACTTCTATCAAAACTCAGTCCCAGATTGGGTTGCATTAATGTTTAAGTTATGATTGTAATGATGTAAATGGCAGCCTCTTCTAGCTTAATTTATGCCTGTAAAAAGGATAATGGAATTTGCCATGTTTCCTTCATTAGGACGCTTTCTTCAATCTGAACATATTGACGTACTGTTGGCAATGTATGATTCAGCTCTTCTAACATTTGAGATGTTCAAGTAAACTCATAATCTCTTGTTCTACTGAATATATGTTTCCTTCAAAGCATTATAACAAGGAATGGGTCTCCCAATCGTCATTTGTTTCTAGTTTCTTTGTTTTTTCAAATTTTCAGAACTAATTTCCAGTTGAGCAAAAACATAGGTCAAGAATTATTGTTTCATGCACTACCCTGGTACATTGCTATACAAACTAGTCCTGGGTTTACTAGAGTCATGCTTCATATGCATTCCCAATTAAAGAAACGGCTTCTCTGCCATGGCCAAAATCTGTTAAAGCAGTTCCTGTCAACTCTGTTTGTTTTTGGATGATCCCGAACTCTGCTTTTTTTGAGGCAATTCTGAGTCGTTCACAGAATTTAGGATGGAATCAATATCTGGAGTAATAACTGCCCGTTTGTCAAGGCTTCCAATGATGCAGAACTGTTTCTCTTCAGTATTGATGGCTGCAACATTCTGGGCAAATACAGTAGGCGGACCGGGAAATACCTGCAAATCAGTTATTCAAATATAAGTAAACAAAAGAATCAGGCATGCATAAACACACGCCCTCAGGAAATAAAGGAGGTCAAGTTCTATTAAAGGAGCAAATTCAGGCATGCATAGATTGTGGCCACGACAGAGAACTCATTCAACAACAGTGAAAATGCTAGCAAATAGACGTATGCCTGATCACAATAACAGGTCATCCAGTTTAAAGCAAGACTGGTATATGACTTACATCATATGGTATTTCTCCCAGCTTCATCTTGATTTTGCCACTCTTGTGAACCAGCATTTTACCTATATATCCAGCAGGCAACTCTTCCAAGTCAGAGCGCTTCTTCACAGCCTCTGATCTTTCTGGCAAAGCTGAGCTATCAACTTTCTCTTTTCCCTTTCTGCTTTCTGACAGCTTATCAAAGGGTAGCTTCTTAGGAAGCTGAAGAAAAAGCAGCTTGGGTTCCTGAGAATCCTATTAGCAATGACCATTTCCATTAGACAACAAATGCCATTAATATCCACTGCAAAAGAGAGAGGAACAAAAAAAATTCTAATCTTATTGATCTAATCACCAACCAGAAGACCAAGCTCTTCAGCAGCAATAATAGTGTTTTCATCATACTCTGCTTTTGTTGCTTCTTCCCCAAATTCTGCTTCATCAAGTAGCTCTACAGAAGAAGCAAGGAAGCCAACAAGCAAAGTTCAGTTAGATAAACTAAAAATTGCATAAGAGAGATGATTATGATGCTGGCTCCATACAAATTGTTGAACCATACTTTTAAGGCAAACTTCATTGCTAGAAGGAACAAATATTAAATAAATAAAATATTATCTGAATCTTCATTAATCATCGATGCTAGTCCATTGTATTTTTTCTTTTGCAGACTCTAATTAATTTTCTGGTTCTCACAGTTTAATATCAAGGCTAGCCGAGATCCAAACTCTTCAGATGTCAAAGTGGATTGTTAAGTTTTTATGAAAAGCCTATAATTCAAGAAATTCAAGCTGTTTTCTTCACAAAACCACGTTTACAAGCTCTTCAGAATAAATTGTGTCACAAATGGACAGTACCAACAATTCTTATCTAAGAACCGCTAGTTTCGATATGGAGAAAAGTATACCTGGGTCACCAGAATTGGGTTTTCTCAGAGGAAGAGTGATTGGATGGTAATCAGAATCGTGATCCTGCAATGCAATCATGCGAAACAAAATTTTAGTTTCAGGCAGGCACACCCACCCCTGGACACGAATTTATGCTTGCATGATGCCCACACCACTTTGCGCCCCCAAGGCCCCCCCCCCACACACACACACATGCATAGCTAGAGAGGTTATTACCCAAGGTTCTCTGTATTCCTTTTTAGTACTTGGTGCTGATGTGTTGATACTATCTGTTGAAAATTCCTCACATCCATCTTCCTTCATAGGTGAGTGAAAAGAACTAGTACTAACGAGTTTCTCATTATAAGCAGCAGGAATGTTCATCACAGCGTCAGTATCTTTAGCATCCCTAGCTCTTTGAGAACCAAATTTCCTTATTGAAGTCGATGAGGATGCAGCACCAGGGCCAAATGCAACTTGAGCCGAAGCTGGAGAGTCAAATTTTGAACATCAGCATGAACATCCAATGAAGAATAATAACATAAAAAAACTCAATATGGAGTCATCTTGATATCTAGTTTTGGTTGCACGTATCCACTCAGCTAGTTCAGCAACCCTGAGGCAAACAATCTCATCTCACTAGTCACTCCAACCATACAAATGGTACAATGCTGTTTCAGCAAATATGACATATATTAAAGATTTGCCAAACTTCCATGCAAACTTTACACTACATATTTCCTATTCCATTCACATGCTCAATGTCCTTTAAACCCAAGCCCCAATCCCAAACACCCGCCCTCCCCAAAGAAAAAAAAAAATGAAATCCTAGTTCAAGCAATAAATATGAGATTTTATTCTTTTCATGCCTATAACAAGAATTGCACAAAAAATGAATATCAATCTTCAGATTGTCAAAATTGATTGACTTACCTTTCTTTTCGACTTTAGGTCTTTGTAGCCTCTGAATATCCTGTAAATACAAAACACGCAAATGAATTCATTTCATGGCCGTTTAATTTTGGGATGCTCTCCAACATGGAGATATCCTGACATGATCTCATGCAACAATAAGGCAGAAGATTGAACCAAAAGGCTGGCCTCTAAAAAGTAAGTTTTTTTTTTTTTTTTTTTTTGAGAATATATAATCATAATTAGAAAAGAAAAGAAATTTGTACCAGAAAAGGAAGAAAAAGGGGAATAAATAAACATCATAGTGTGATTTCTGATGACAGAGCTCAAAAATGAAGCCATCACACCATATAAGGGAGGTAAATTCCATTAATAAGTTCCATTAAGACTCAAAACAACATAGATACCACGAATATGAGCACTTGATAAGTTTCTACTAGAAGAATTTGACCACTTTTAATTTCCCAGATGAATAACACCCAGAGTTAATGCCTCTTGTAAGGGATCCCAAATAACATAAATCAAAAACTAAGCTCAATAACATGGATAATGCCTCTATCAAGTATCAACCAAAAAATTAATTAAACATTCTATAGACCAAATTAGCATTTGAACAATGGTCATTGAAGAGGAATCAATTTACTATCCCCTCCCACCTCATAAAAGATATCTCATATTCAAATCCCTTCAATAAAATATCATACTAAAAAACTGCTTTATTATCTGGACTTATTTTCATTCACCTAACAAACTTGTGTCTAACACTTATCAGCCACTTTAAAGCGATATGGAGACAACACTTGGGCACTTCAAAGTGAAGGAAAAACCAACAAAAAATTTTAAAGCTCCCTTGTCACAGTCATATAGCAAAACCTTCCCACTGTTTCTCAATAACTTTCCACCAGATTCAAGACAAATTGATGTAAGATATTTGGCACTTTGAACATGTATATCCTATGGCCAATAAAACTTGCATCCCAAAAAAATTTATTACCTATTATTATTACTATGTACTAAAAAATTTCCTTACACCTTGTTACCCTGTTGTTTTCAGATTCTTTCTTTTTCTAGTTTTTTTTTTTTTTTTTTTTTTTAACGCTGCGGTTAGAACTTGAACCCCACACCCTCTAACCAGCATGAGAAGACCTTTACAAAAAGTTAGTGGCTTTTGTAAATAGCCACTAGGACACAAGTCCGTTCTCTTTTCTTTTCCTAGTTGGTTTTCTCCCTCAAAAGCAATTAATAAAATAAATCAGGATCAATTTATATTAGTATAACTTACCCCATTTAATAATTTTTTGTATAATTTGTATTTTTTCAAATCAATTGTTGAATTAAATATTCTATTTGTGTAAATCATATCAAATTTCAAATTAATTAGATGTATTTAACTATTTCATATTACACTTAATTTTAAATCATTAAATATATAATAGAAAACACAATTTCTTTCTTAAAAGTTAAGATGCATAATCTATATAAATAAAAAGTTAAATTCAACATTAATTTGGCAAAATACAAACAGTAAAAAAAATTATTGACTCATATAAGTAATTTTTTTTTTTTTTTTGAAAATAGGCAATGCCCGATATAAGTAAGTAAATTAGTAATTGTGTAAATAACACCAATGTTAGATATTGATTGCGTTCGCTAATAAAATTAATTAATTAATTATTCTTGTGTTATCCTACGCCCTAAACTACCCGTATTTCTATCGTTTCCCTTTCAAATTATCTGGAAACAAACACGCCCTTCATTTTACTTTATCTTCCTGATATAAAAATAATTTTTTTATAATTATTTTATAAAACTTTCAGGTAGATACATTGAGAATTTTAAATAAATAAAAAACCCAACTAATGATATATAAAATTATAAAAAAATAATATATAAAATTATCTTTAAATTATACTCTATTATAGTATTATTATTACTCCGTATTTTAAAAAATCTAAAATATTACGTAAGTAAGAGTACCAAAAAAAAAAAAAAAAAAAGGTAAAATCTTATCCCGTATCGGAATCTTGGGGATTAAATAAAGCAATGCTCTGACTAACGCTAGGAAAAACAGAGCTTCAAAAAGTGAAAAAAGAAAGAAAATCGTAAGAACTGGATGAAGATGGTATAAAGGATTATGTGTACGTACATTGAAACGTTCGATGAGTTTGTCGGTATCAGCAACTTCTGCGTCTCCATCACCGTCCTCACTGCATTTGACGATAATCAGAAGGATTCAGCAAATATTATTTCGAAGGAAGAGAAAGACAAGAAAAGAGAAGGCAAGAAAAAGGCAAAGTGAGAGGGAAATTACGGTTTGGCGACGGAGGGCTTGCGGTTGCGTTGAGGAACCTTCGGTTTGAATCGATGCTGCAGAAATTTATCAGTTTAGGGTTTCGGAATTCGAGTGCGGAGGAAATCGACGAGCGTGGGAAGAAATTGGCGGAAAGGAGTGGGAGATGTTACCTTTCTCGGATTGGGATCCATGGTGATTTCACTGGCTCACGTTGAAGATGACGAACAATGACGCCGGGAAAAAACTGGAAATGGAAAAAGGAGGAATCGAACCCTAGACCACTGCTCAACTCTAGAAAGACTTTACCACCGAGCTTATAAGCAGTGGACGACAAAATCGTCGAAATATTTTATATTAACTACCTGACCATGCACAATTCATTCATTAACAAATTCAATTTCGAGAATCTGCAAAGCTGCAAACCGCTTTTCGTAAATTTAAATTATATTTTAATAAAATTAACTTACGATAATAAATTCAAATTACATACAAATTTGAGCTTCTAAAGAAAAAAGTGAAAACTTGAGAGAGGAAAAAAATGG